TTCTTTTCCAGTCTTTCCTTGGCAGTAGGCCTCTTGGATGACCTGAGCCCACGCTCTGCTCTCCTTCATCTTAACATTTGGATAACTTTGTAACCTATCTGTTTAAGAGGACTGTTGTCCTTCTGCCAGCTCTGCTGCCTTTACCGCTGGAGCATCATCTCATCCTCTCTCTTGTGTTTTTTCCTTCTGCAAGTCCAGACTCAGCTAGACTTGGCAGGCTTTCCTCATGACCAGTGTTTAAACAAGAAGAGCCTGCGGAAGAAACAGAGAGAGTGCTCGCCTTTTTAATCCCTTGAAACAGATGGCAAAGAGATGGAGCTGGCCGCTGGGATGTCAAGCTATTATTCCTCAATCCAGTAGATGGATTTGAGGCCCTCTCACACCGTACAATTATAGTGTTATTATCCAATGAAGTGCCATATCACCCATATCACTAGCCTATAGATTTTGTAGTTTAGAGAGGGGTATTTAGAATTATTATGCAAAGACTTCTAGCACTTCACCAATCCACAAGATCCAGAATTTCAAAAGATCTAGACAAGACAGTTGCTATAAATGTGCATGGTACATCACTGAAAAAACAACAAAAAGATAGCCCTGCTAAAGATGTACTACCTACCTACCTGTGTGTCTGTCTATCCATCTATGAATAAGAAGGATTAATACAAATATAAAAGTAATACAATCTGTGAAACAAATTATATGAATATACATTCAAAAACCCATATGATACAATACAATACAAAACAAAATGTATAAAATAATGAAAGTAAAAATAAATTAAAATTCCCAAAAGCTGAGGAAGACAACAAATGAAGCAAGGGCCCATAAATATTCAAGGAGACAATTCCAGGAATATAGAGCAGCAAGTGAAAAAGATTGAATCAGGACCAAAACAGAATGAACTCTTGCCTGAATGAGAAGCCTAAAGTCCCTAGAACAAAGATCCTGACCTGATAAAGAGTAAAGAGAAATGAAGGCAGAAAGACAGAGGAGAACTGGGCCATGTGGAGCTTTAAAAAATAAAGCAAGAAACCCATGTATATGAGTGCATTTTGTAGTCATTTTGCTAGGTCTTTCCCCTGAAATGCATCTGTAACATGGCAAAGATCTCTTTTACAAGATCCGCTGTGCTGCAAATCTAATTTTTTCTAGTTTGGTAAGAGGTGTAGGAACTTTTGTTCTTTTTAATCTAAGTATTTTCTGGTGGTAGGCAGAATTATAATAACGGCTAGGATACTGATGTGTTTAAATGCATTTGCAGCTCTATACTGAAGTCCTCCTTTTCAAAAAACTACTTCCAATACAATCTGAATGTCACCACTGTATTGAAGCTTACACTCATAAACTTTTTCAATTGAAGAATGGTCATGTGGTCAGAATTTATTTACAAATACACTGCTCAGAAATTAAACCCTGAAGTTCAACTAGGCTTATTCTCAAGTAAATCAATTATGTATTGTGTCACCATCAGTACAGATAAATATCTGACTTTGTATGCTACAGTCATATTTAGTACTGTATAAGTTGAATATCCCTTATCCATAATGCTCGGAACCAGAAGTGTTTCGTATTTTGGATTTTTTCATATTTTGGAATGCCTGTATTTGCACATACTGAGATATCTTGTACATAGGGTCCAAGTTGAAAAAAAATTCATTCATGTTTTGTATACACCTTAAAATCCATAGTCAGAAGGTAATTGTATACAATATATAAAATAACTTTGTGCAAGAAACAAAAAACAGGTGTCTTCCAAACTATCAGAAAGCAAAAGTGTCATTATCTCAGATACACAAGTGGACAATTTTGGAGTATTTCAGATTTCAGAATTCTGGATAAAAGATTCCCAGCCTATACCAATTCAAACACCTTCCTTGAAAGAAGCTTGATTCTGCCAGTCTCTTATTGGGCCACACAAAAATACACAAAAGAATGTGGTAAAAATACACATTGTTAGTGCCGACTACAACACATCTATTGAATCAATGGTGTTGACTTACATGTTGCAATTCATCAATTCATTCAATGAGTCTACGCTGGTTGGAATGAATTTATAGGATTCAGGAATCCACTCTAAGGTTGGAGGATCCTAGACTGATAGTCTGTAAGCATTATATTTTGTTTTGCAAACTTTTCCTTGCATAAAATTAAAAAAAATTGAAAAACTTTTGCTTGTTGTATCAGATGGTTCACTCTTATTTAGACATAGCCCCTGTTTCTTCAACAGAATTGAAGAAAGCAACATATGTTGTAATCCACCACGTGTACAGCCTACAAATGCATTTTGGACCAGGGCATAAAGGTCTTCATGCCAGATCCAACCCTCATGCGTGTGTCAGTTATGCCCTCCTTGTAGACTGCCCTGCCCACATCTCAGTTTCTTCTGTACTCTTTCTTATCGTCAGCAAGAAAAGACAAGAGGATAGTAACTCATGTACTCACCAAACGGAGCTTCCATCTTAGGGCTTAGCGGTGTAGTTGCATTGACCATTTCTCATTGGTGTTATTTTAGAGAAAATGGAGAAAGTGTAAAATAACAAGAAAAAGAAGCTGTGGGGAGGAAGGAGGGAGGGAGGGAGGAAGGGTGAGGAAACCTGCCTCGCCTGTTATCTTATTGATTCGCTTAATCAGGCCTAATGTGGGTGGAGATGTTAAATAGTAACCAAACTCATATGGAAACCAACTTGCAAGGTGCCGTCTGCCACGGTAGCTATAGTAACTGCTAGCAAGCTTGAAACTCAAACATGACTTTATGGCACACTTTTGGGACATCCACTGACACCAGTTTTCAGGCCCCAGGTGACCCTTGCGGCCACAGATTTGCTTCCCTTCTTATCCTCCTTTAGCACAAGCTAAACATATCCAGGACTCCATAGCCCGGCAGACCCAGGAAACTACCAGTTGGGAGGTGTGAACTAGGTCAGTTTCACAGCAGCTGAAACATGGGACGTTTTATTGCCTGTGCTGAACAAACACAGAGAACAAAGACTATTTGTCTGTGTGTGCAAATGCTAGAGGCCCCTCACACTATCCTTGTCAATATTCTCTGCCTATACACCTGAGTGTACATTTGCTTATATGGAAAAGCATAGATGTCTGTGCATTCATTAGTGTTCCTGGACAGATACAACTGGAGTCATCTGGATTTAAGCAATTGTGAATGTGTCTATCTGGAGGCTAGTGGCTCTCTGTGTCCATATTTGAAATTCATTGATTCTGACATTTATTTAGGGACTGCCTTTCAGCCATGCTTCCGGGGCAGTTTTACATAAAAACAAATACTACAAACATTATCCTCAAAACTAAAATCAGTAACAGTATCTAAAGAAAATGGGAAAGCCTAGAAGAATGGAATGGGATGTTGGCATCTAACTACTAAAATATAATTCATAATATACATTGTGAAATTCATGGTTCAAAAATGTAACTTTTCCAAAAATGTAACTTTGCAAGTCTTCGAAAGTTATTTTTTTGAATCACAATTCCCCTTATTCTGGGGTTTGTAGTTTAGTGAAACTCAGGACCGCTCTGGGGGCAGCCACAGGATTTCATATGGGATCCATATTCTTTGCCTACTCTTTCAGCTCTAGTGTGATCTCATCACCATTTCTTTGGATCAGCTAGATAAAGTCAGCATGGACTTTGTACTGTTTTAATGATTTGTTATTGTTTTTACTGATCCTGTGTCAACCACTCTGGGAGATTCTGTGGGTGAAGAATGTGGTAAAAATGCTTAAAAGAAATGATAAGATTGTTGGATTTGGATGACAGACACCAAAGTTTAAATCCCAACTGTTCTCTAAAGCTCTCTGGGTGACACTCGGAATAGATCTGTCACCCTAACCTTGTGAAAACAAAGTGGAGAAATTGTTATGTATGCTTCTGTGAGTTTTGTGGAAGAGATACGATGTATTAAAACAAAAACTAACGAACAAAAGAAACAACTCTCCTACAGGTTCTGGAAACTAGGGCACAGAGCAATGGATTCAAATCGCAGGAAAAGAGATTCCACCTAAACATTAAGAAGAACGTCCTGTTGGCTGGAACTGCTCAGCAGTTGAACTCTCTGCCTGAGAATGTGGAGAAGTCTCCTTCTCTGGAGGTTTTTAAGTAGAAGCTGGATGACCATCTGTTGGGGGTGCTTTGATTCTATGCCGCTGCATGGCAAGGGTTGGTCTGGATCAGTGTCTCCCAACCCTCCTAATGCCATGACCACTTAATACAGTCCCTCATGTTGTGGTGACCCCCAACCATAAAAATATTTTTGTTGATACTTCAGAACTATAATTTTTCTACTGTTATGAATGGTTAGTTTCATTCACTGGACCAAATTTGGCACAAATACCCAATATGCCCCAATTCGAATACTGGTGATGTTGGGGAGGATTGATTTTGTCATTTGGAAGTTGTACTTGCTGGGATTTATAGTTCACCTACAATCAAATAGCATTCTGAACCCCACCAATTGAATTGATTGAATTGAATCAAACTTGGTACACAGAACTCCCATGACCAACAGAAAATACTGGAAGAGCTTGGTAGGCAATGTTCTTGAGTTTTGGAGTTGTAGTTCACCTACATCCAGAGAGCACTGTGGACTCAAGCAATGATAGAACTGGACTAAACTTGGCATAAATACTCAGTATGCCCAAATGTGAACACTCCTGGAGTTTGGGGAAAGCAGAACTTGTCATTTGGGAGTTGTAGTTGCTGGGATTTACAGTTCATCTACAATCAAAGAGCATTCTGAACCCAACCAACACTAGAATTGGACTAAACTTGGCACACAGAACTCCGACGACCAACAGAAAATATTGTGTTTTCTGATGGTCTTTGGTGACCCCTCTGACACCCTGCCCCCCCCCCCCCCCCCCCCGGGATCCTGACTCCCAAGTTGAGAAACACTGATCTGAATGGCCCTTGTGGTTTCATCTAACTATGATTTCTATGAAAAAGGATACTTCAAAAAGTTCTTCCAAATACTTATCACAATCTCAGCCATTCATATAGATAATTTCAGATTTTGGAGTTCCTTGATTTCTGGTTTTGACAATTTGAGTAAGATATACTTAACCTGTGGAAGACCAGTACATACATGGAATAGTCGGGAAGGAATTGTTGGTTGATGTGAGAACATTTTGATGGAACACGTCTGAATCTGCAATGTGCAAGTTTGGACATGGTTCTGCCAGAAGGCATAAATAGGAAACTCTTTTGGAAGAATAGTATTCACCAGAATATGAAGCTTTGAACAAACTCAGGAATCAGTTTTAACTAGGTTAATACACTGCATTTTTATTAAAAAGAAATTGATCAGCTATTTATGAAATGGTGAAAATATTTGACTAGTGCTAACAAGTAATGCAAAGAGGTTCAGATGACTCATTGAATGGGAGATAATAAATTGTCCTTGAGAGCACATCACATGCTTCAAAAATGCTCCAGAAAATGCATGAAGGGTATTTAGAAACAACTCTTGTCTGAAAAATGATCTACTGGGTTCAACAATGACCAAATTTGCTTTGAAAATGAGTTGCTCTTTACTACATACAAAAACATGTAAATACAGTATCAGAGACATAACAGGTATAATTTAAATGGAGAAGGCTTCCGTAGGTAGCTGCATAGTTTTAAACACACACAAACACACAAAAAGCGGTCCCACAAAGGATACACAAATCAGAACTGTAGCCTGCAGTGCAATGAAGTTTAAAAACTTCTTCCCATTACAAAACTATGGGAACTGCAGGTGTCAAGGGGAAGTGTAGTTGGAGTTTTATTGGTGTATGAAGGAGGATCCTAACAAAAGGTCACGAGAAAGCAGCCTAGGACTTTCCGTGAATATTTATTTCTATATTATTAGAATTCACTGTATGCTGTGCCATGTGGCTTTTGTCATTTCCAGCTATGAGTCCTGCTCCCAAGTCCTCCAGCTGTCGTTGAGTTCAGAATGAATGTGGCAGGCTCAGAACCAGCTCACTCTATTGGATCGGAGTCCAGCAGAGCACATGTTGTTGCTGCAGGTGCCTCCATAACTCGGCGGACAGGCTGAGCAAGGCCTCCCCATTTTGTAAGGAGCTTCTCCTATCCAGTTTCCCCTGGAAAGAATGAGAGAAGCAAAATATGAGGTACATTTCATTGTTGTATGGGTGGAGAGCAAACTTATTTTTCAAAATACAGGCAGCCCCCCAAGTTACAAACATCCGACTTACAAACAACTCAAAGTAAGGGGCTAAGACAACAGGAAGTGAGAGAAATCTGCTCCTTGGAAGGGAAATTCCCTCCTGAAAGAGTTATATCCATATTAATGTCTTTGTGTTTATTCTAATGTTTCCTCTTTCATATTACTCATTTCAATCCATTGTTCATCACTATGTGGTCTCCAAATGGATGGATTATAAATTTATAAATGAATACATAATAGCAACCTTCCACAGCTTGGGAAATACGTTTTTGTACTGCCATCCAGAATCCTCTAGACAACAAGCCTATTGGTGTAGTTGGCTGGGATGGGATTCTGGGACATATACATTACTTGAAGTTAGGGATGCAGGAGTTCTGCAAAAGTGGGAAAATGCAAATAACCCCCCCCGCCCATATACACTTTTTTTTAGCTGAGAGAACACATCTCTAGGGATCTTTAGATCTTGCAGTGCAACACTATGGTTCAACTCCTATTAGAGGTTGACCATAGAATCATGTTAGAGGACTTACAAATGCCTAGAGAAATGTTCTCTCTAGCAATGCCTAGATCCTCCAGCATGGCAGAAGTTGATTATAGGGTCACACTGAAAGTCCTAGAAATTCCCAGAGCAAACATATTAATCAAATTCACAAAAGTGAAAACTGCAAATGTAGAGAAATTACTGTAGTTAAAAAACCACCCTTTTCCAAGTTCGGGTCCACAGCAATAAGCTATCTAGTCCAGCACCATTTTTTTCCATAGTGGCCAAGCAGATGCATCTGGGAAACCCATAAAGGTATAATCGTCTCTCCCTCTGGTGCTGCCCAAGATATACTCTTTAAAGTTATTTGCTTCTAGATCCCAGAATTGTATACCGTTCTGTATTCAATTTCCTCAGACGTGTGCATTTTTGCTTACTTGACAGCATAGTTGCACACTAAGTAGACTGCTCTCCGCCATGTGCTGCCCCACACATTCATGTTGTTGCAGGTGTGGATGGCACAGCCAATTCTGTTGCTAGAAGCCCACACCATCTGTTTTGGAGACAACAGCGTTGCTATTAAAATAAACAGTTCAGAAACAAGCAGACTCACTCCCATAAGGCATACCAAAAGTGTCAGGATTTTGTCTCATTGGTTAAAGAGCTGAAATGTACCAGGCACCTAATACCCCACATAGAGTCCAAGATGGGGGAAATTTCTTCTCTTCCATTTTAACCCTCAGAAAACATACCAAGAAGGACACAATTTCTGCCCTGGGGACAAGGGCAAGAAGAACACATTCCCACACCTAGGGTTAGTGTATGATAGACATTGTTCAGCAACATTGCATACAAGGCTTTCATGTGCCCTAGGATTCATTGATCATCACAGTTTGGAAGAAGACCCTGGCAAAAACAAAAAAAAATCTGGTCTTCCATTGAGTAGTACAAATATGCCTAGAACTGATAGTGCTGTTGTGTTGTGTTGTTGAAAGCTTTCATGGCCAGAGTCACTGGGTGCCTGCCTGACCATGTTCCAGAAGCATTTGCTTCAGGTTAACAGCTAGAAACAATGCTTCTGCTGCCAATCCCGCAGGAGTTGCAGAGTGAGTCTGTATTTGGCCCATGTTGACATGGCCCTAGAGAGCTCTAATCCATTGCACATAGCACTACAGCTCTCTAACAAAGCACTCTAAGTATCTCACCACAGCTCGGAAACTCACAGCAATCCATTTAACAGTTCTTTTCTTTATGCATCCTAGCAATTCTCCACAATAGGGAAAGTTTCACCATATTACTTGTTTCAAAGTACTGAAGCTTGATGGAGACAAAGGGGGGGGGGGGAGAGAGACATTTTAAAAAGTATATTTTTTAATGTTTTCCTAGCATCACTCTCCAATTGAGAAACTCATAAACCTTTTAAGGGGAAAGCTGAAAACATCAGATATGTAACATAGGTAGATCACTCCAAATGACAGCACTTTTACTGCTTTGAGTCCATCTCCTAGAACAGGCATGGGCAAACTTGGGCCCTCCAGGTGTTTTGGACTTCAACAACCACAATTCCTAACAGCCTACTAGTCCAAAACACCTGGAGGGCTGAAGTTTGCCCATGCCTGTCCTAGAACCTTGGGTTTTATAGTTTGATGAGATACTTAAGAGTTCTTTGTTAGAGAGCTGTAGTGCTATTGTGTGATGGATTATTACTCTCTAGGGCCATGTCCACATGGGTCAAATAATAATACAGACTCACTTTGCAACTCCTGCAGGATTGGCAGCAGAAGTGTTGCTTCTAGCAATTAACCTGAAAAAAAGCAAAATGAAATTTTCTCTGAAGCTTCCAGAAACTTCCAGAGTAATGCTGGTATTTTTGAGGTATGGATAGCCCACTCCAGTGTCACATGTCCATCAGATTCATCACTGTATCAGCAACCAGACGCAGCTGTCTGGCAGAGGCTTTCTGCCAATGTTGCTTCTGATGAGGTCACAGCAAGGCACCCAGCAGAAGCAACATTGCCAGCATGCCTCTGCCACGGAGCTGCTTTTGGACGGTCATAATGTGTTCTTGGCCTGACCACCCTTTCTGGACATAAAAAAGACTCTGGGGTGCTCCTGTGCTGCATCAGGACAGTTCTGGGGCACAATACTCTGGATTCATTAGGTAGGTGAACATGTTGCATAGCAGTGTTTTAAGTATGTACCCAAACTACAAATCCCATGATTCCATTCGTAATTGTTATGTCACAGTGCACATAACTGCTGCAATTGTGCACCACGGATGGACCCTATGTCCTCAAGAGCAGCTCAAGAAAATGAGCACCGAAAAACCACAGCACCAAGGAAAAAATGACATGTGAGTGACATCATTTGAGGACAGATCACTCTATTTCATTGCCAGGAAAAATGCCTTACAAAAAGTGTTAAGGAGAACTGACTGAGCAAATGGGTACAATTCTCAACTTTAAAAGATGCTCATTTTTGTTCCAATTTTCCTTCCCTCTCTCTTTACTGTTTTTCCTCCAGACACAACATTGGAAAGGATACAATTTAGGTCTCTTTCAGAAGGTGTCTATAAACAACACAGACACCCATGCAAATATGGGGCTGGATATTTTGAGAAGCCAAACTGGCAGGGCAGACATGGGTCCATACTGGAGCTGTGTAGCAGACCATTCATTATGGGCTGGAAACACTTTGCCACAACTCAGCATGGGACCAGGAGGTGTTCCACCTCAGGCTGGCTTAACACCTATGGGGAGGAGCAAATGAAGGGGTTGTATTCACAGAGGTGCCAGACACTTCAGCAAAGTCCTGTCACCACCATGGAGATGATTCATGAGCGGTGAGAAGGAAAGGACCTTTACCTTTCCTTAAGAGGCTGCTCTTGGTACAACACCAAGTGCCCTGTGGAAAGCTGGTAAGGAAGGTTTCAGGAGCCCAGAAGACCTGTCTCATCTCCCCATGAGGCCAATAAACACCAAGTTGATGATGGGAGAAAACTGAGCCTAGACAAGTAGCATTTTTTTCAAGTTTGACTAGTTTGATTCTAGAACTAAAAAATCATGTCAAGACCTAAACCAGATATAACAAAAGAACTGGAACCTATAAAATCACAAGAAACTGTCTTAATAAAATAAGATTGCATCTTTCATTAACTGTAGCTTTGTAAGATAGTAACTGACTACTACATTTATATACCGTAGAAATAATGTCCAAGTCAGTAGTTTTCACCTCTCTCTGCTTGAACATAATTTATTTTAAAATATTACAAAGTTACAGGTTTCTGGCCGGTGATGCAAAACTCTAAGAAGCCCTGTAACTATAAACTATAATTGCATCATAAAGTGAGGAAAATCTTCCCTAGTAGAGTTACAAACATAGTCTATCTTTTACTGTGTTTTTATTATTTCTAAAAGGCATTAATTGCAAGTAACTGGTTATTGGGTTGCATGGCAATGTTCCAGAAGCATTATCTCCTGACTGGGTTGTTGTATCTGCATCTGTGGCAAGCATCCTCAGAGGTTGTGAGGTTAGGGTTAGGGTGCTTACCACAGATGCAGGCTAAACATCAGGAGAGAATGCTTCTAGAACATGGCCATACAGCCTGAAAAACCTACAACAACCCAGTGATTCTGGCCATGAAAGCCTTCAACAACACACTAATTGGTTATTTTTTTAAAGGTTACTCCCAAGCTCTGATTAAAAGGCAATATATGTGTGATTTTTCAATAAACAAACAAAAAAGAAGAAAAAAAAATGTAAAGCCTAGATTTCCTTTTCTTTCCAAATGTGGATTCAAGTCATTTGGCCAACACTTGAATTAAAAACAGCTCTCTCTATAGTAGTGATTCTAACTGTAACTCACACTAACCATCCTTTAGTGGAAATTCCTTGTGCAAATATCAGATCCAACATTCCTTTTGTCTCCTTGTTGCATTTTAAATCATACTGTCTCACAGCAGTGTCAATTGTCTGTCTCTTACTTCTTCCAGCCACCTAACTGAGCTGGAATTGATGACTGTTCTTATGGCAGATGGTGCAGTGGAAAAACAGACAGTACTTCTTAGGAAGAAAATATGGTTCAGACAGTGCAGTCTGAAGGGGGATATGATTGGTATATTTGGAGATGGCACAAATCACAGATTTCAGTCAGGGATGTGAATCATTTCACCTTTCTTATTGTTGGTCTACAATTCCTCTCAGAAATTCCAGCATAGCTAAGAGTAAAGTCATGTAGGAACTATAGTTAAAAACCATTTAGAAAACTAAATTATCCCTACATGTGACAATCTACAATTTAGAATTAATGCAATTGACCCCAGTTTAATGACCATGGCTCAATGCTATGAAATCCTGGGAATTGTAGTTTGTTGAAGTACCAGCACTCTTTGGCAGAGAATGCTAAATACTTTGCAACTCCCATGATCCCATAGCATTAGGCCATTGAGGCTCTCCTCCCAATTATTAACATTTGCCTTAAAGTAGTGGTTCTCAACCTGTGGGTAGCCAGATGTTTTGGCCTACAGCTCACAGAAATCCCAGCCAGTTTATCGGCTGTTAGGATTTCTGGGAGTTGAAGACCAAGACATCTGGGGACAGACAGATCGAGAACCACTGCCTTAAAGGGTTACTTGTTTCCGAGCCCTATTCCACTTAATGGGTATATTCTTTAAGTACAGGCTGCATTCTGATGAACAGCAAGAACTGTAGTCTATGAAGAGTCAATCCTATACTGGCTGGGGTCTTCTTTGAGCTTCAAGTTCTTGTCTGTGCATATGAGATATATTGTGAGATCACAAGGCTCATTCAACAAAGTGATGAGGTTAGATGAGATGGAAATCAGTAGAAAAGAGTATTACAGGTGGAGGGCTTCAATAAAGGAAGCACCAGCCTTGGGTTTGTAAGATCTGAGCAGGGCTGTTAAAGTGTCTTGGAGATGTTTCATTCATAGGGATGCTATAAGTCAGTGGTTCTCAAACTGTGGGTCCCCAGGTGTTTTGGCCTTCAACTTCCAGAAATCCTAACAGCTGCTTAAGTAGCTGGGATTTATGGGAGTTGTAGGCCAAAATACCTGGGGACCCACAGGTTGAGAACCACTGCTATAAGTAAACACATACTTAATAACAACAATATGTGGTGGTGGGTGGTTGCTTCTAAGTTGTTGGAGTAGTAGCACTCTGGATTTTAGTTTAGTTAAATCTCCAAACTATCTTACTCTCTATATATGTCAATCTATCTATCCTATCTATCTATCTATCTATCTATCTATCTATCTATCTATCTATCTTTGTGTCAAGATCCATCACCAAACTAGGTCTAGCACCTTGGATAGCTCCTTTAAATTCAATGGGACAGCTTAAATTCTGCAAAGGCACTGTTTTTGTCTGATATTAGAAGCTAAGCAGGGTCAACACTGGCTGGTATTTGGAAGGCAGGCTGCAAACAATGCTGTAAGTTATATTTCAGATATTGCAATGGAGAAAACCATCCTTGAGTATTCTTTGCCTAAGAAAACCTCATGAGGTTACCATAAGTTGATGTACAACTTGATGCCGCCCCCCCCCCCCAGCACACACACTCACACACACACACTACAAAGGATAGGATTCCTTCCCTCTCTCTGCCCACTGTGTTAATTGAGAGCCAACCTCTGTATCAATTAAAGTCAGGGGGAATGTGGAAGAACTGAGAAATTGGGACATTTTGAAAGCAGCAGAAAAAGGAGATGACAGAGGATAGACCAAAATTCTCTCTGCCATAATAGGGTAGTTGAAGGAAATGTAAATGTTAATTTAAATAATTACAGTATTACAACTCACAACTAGTGGTACATACCTGAGTGTAATGGCTGCAGACAGAGCCACTACATTTGGAAGGGCAGCTGGGCTTGCATTCATAGGGATAAGGAAAGGCGTAGTGTTGTTTCTCATAATACCAGGATTTCACAAGGTCCACAACTGAATTATACCTACAGAGAGTCATATACAAAGCACATCTTATTCATTTATCCTTCAAAAAGATATTCCAGTTAATACAATCTGCCTGTATATGTCTCCAATTCTCAATGCTTTTGATCTGTTGCTAGTAATATGGAGGTATTGTATTGGGGAATGCCTCAAAATATTCCTAAAACTCCAGACCTGTGTTTTCAGAGCAATGTACACAGCAGGATCAGGTCTGATTTGAACAGGTCCATTGTCCCCTGTTGCCTCCCTTTTCCCCCTGTACTCATTAACACAGGGGAAAGGGGACAGATTGTGCTTTGTGTGAGGTTCTGGTAGTTGCAGGAACCCTGTGCTGATATCAGTAGAGGCACTTGTGCAGGAGCATTGGATCTCTCCTTCTTCCTGGTCACCTTTACTAATGTCAGCAAGAAGTGTCCACAGTGACCAGAAGCTCACATGGTTCTCTGCTGCTATCTGGGAGTAGTGATGACAACATGGATCCACAAAAGTTATATCTGCAAATGTGAACTGGTTTTTTTTTTCAGTCCAGAAATAATGTATTTGAAGAGCTCCCCAGTTCAACCCATTCCTGATTGCCAGGAGACACTGCTTACCTGCCAGAGTGGATTGCAAGGTTTTGACCAATGTATTTCATCAGTTGTGGAGGTCCATGCTCCCATATACACTGTTTTGCCCATGCTTCGGCAGATCTGGCAAGCCTTTCATCCCACACCTAGTCATGAAGGAGAAGATCAAGAACAAAGATGACACAAGGTGCAATAGCTAATGGGCTGCTGGTCGAACACAGTAATTAGTTCCATACTGTCAAACAGATATTTTCCAAACAGCAACAGAAACATCATTTTTCCCTGGAAGATTTGTTATTAATAATTAGAATTGTACTGATGGCTGGAGAACCTGCTGTTGTTGGTTGTTGTTAACAGTGGCCAGTGTATTCCTTGAAAAGGTGTTGAAAAGGTTACCTATTTTGACTACAGTTCCTAGAATCATTCAGTTACAAAGCCAGGTAGTCACACACTGACTAGGAATTCTCCTTCACAAAAGTAACATAGTTTTGGTAAATGTTTAGGCTGCCAATGGTGAGTAAGAGCCAAAAAGCAGACTCTTCTTTCTTAATCTTTCCTTCTTTACTTTCTGATTCTCCTTTCCTCTTTCGATCCCTCTCCCTTTACCCAACACTTCCTTGTTTCTTCCTGTCCATAAAATTTGGTCTTGCCAATGTCTAAATTTACTGCTATTTGATCAACAGATGTCTTGCTGCTCCCTTGAATTGGCTTTATCCAAAAGCATTGAGATAATATTTAATGATATGACCATGTCATGCTTGATATTTTAAAATGGTCCTCCACATTTGCAGATTTCACTTTTGCAGATGTGATTATTTGCAGATGTGATTAAAATGTTCTGTCCAGGAATCTCTAGGCCCATCACAGAGTCATGCTGAAAGCTCACCACACAGAATCATGTTGGGTGGTCTAGGTGTAACTGCAGAAGACTAACCAACCCCTCTCATAAAGTTGCAGCACTTTGAGCAAAGTTTTGCAAGACACAACCAGACAAACCAGTGAAAAATAAGACAGATCAGGAAACTGTATCTTGCATGACTAGCTGTGCCTGCTGGGATGCTCTGTTGTACATAATTTTGATGCTTCTCCCTTCCTTCATGTCCATGGGACACATTTTCAGAATTAGCAATGACAGTGTGAGGTTCCTATGAATTGTATTAGGCTATCTGGTGGCACAATGGGTTAAACCCTTGCCCCAGCAGGACTGAAGACAGACAGGTCAGGAGTTTTGAATCCAGGAAGAGTGCAGATGAGCTCCCTCTGTCAGCTCCAGCTCTCCATGTGGGGACAAGAGAGAAGTCTCCCACAGGGATGGTAAAACATCAGAACATCCGGGTGTCCCCTGGGCAATGTCCTTGCAGATGTCCAATTCTCTCACACCAGAAGCAACTTGCAGCTTCTCAAGTCACTCCTGACAGAAAAAAAAATCCTTCTATTTAACTAGGGATTAGTTTCCTGGAATTACTAATTCTTTCCTGTGGCTTCCTGTGGTTTTAATAGCTGTCTGGCAAGCAGAAAACTAGTGAAACTTTACACTGCATGGAGATGCAATAACGAAAAACAGTGTACAGTACTGGCTGATTCTGCCAAACTCCTGGTTTCCTCTGGAAGGGGGATCTGGTCAGGAAAAAAATGATACTCTATTCTGTAACCTCAGTAACAGAATAGAACACAACTATTCTCCAGAGATACCCATGAGGTGAATGCAGGAAACAAAATATATAAACTACACAGCCTGTGCTGGTGTGTGCGCTATATTATCAGAGGGCAACAAAAGGAGTCCTTATCTTGTTGATAAAGTGTCATCAACCTGGTAGAACTTTGCAGTGCAAATCAAAGGAATGATATAAATGAGGGCTACATTTATAACACTTTATGCCTTCCCAGTTCCTTCCCTCCCATTCAGAGCAGGGGAATTTTAATTTTTAGACAACACATCTCAGAATTCCCCAGAAGTAGGATTCAAAAAGCTAAAAAAACCCCAGGGGAATTCCAGATAAGAAACAATCAGGGCCAGCTAATCACCTCCTAACAAAGGATTCCCTCAGGCAGTAAGAAGCCGGACCTTAAAACTACTAGGCCATTAAATGCTAATCAAGGTAGCCAATTGCAACATTCACACCAACCTCAAACAGACAAGTTCTTTCTCTCACCCTGGACATTCCACAGATATATAAACCCAATTTCCTAGTTTCCAACAGACCTCACAACCTCTGAGGATGCCTACCATAGATGCAAGCGAAACATCAGGAGAGAATGCATCTGGAACATGGCCTTACAGTCCGGAAAATTCACAACAACCCAGTAGTCAAATAGCTGACTTTTTCAACCTTGGTCTTTACTAGGAACAAGTACAAATGGAACTCACCATATACTCCATGTTGGCGGCAGGTGGAGACACTTGAGTCCGCACTTGATTGTGATAATCCAAAAGTGCACTCATGTCCCTGGCGGAAATATAGCGCTTCCTGCGAGTCCTGGGTATTCCAAGGCCAGATGTCAAGCCTGCCTCGGGGCTCCTGGATGGGTAAAGGAGTTCAGTAGCATTGGGAAGCATGAAGGAATTGGATTTCTGTATCATCCAGAAGATGGAGCCAGCCAAATATAAGTGTACATGGAAGAGAGTCATTTTAGGATTCGCATAGGTTTTTCTCCTGAGTCACTGAAGTTGGTTTTTAAAAATGTAATCAATGTGCAAATCTTCTTTTATTCCTCTCCTGGATTATGTGTCTAAAAGAAGAAGAAGAAACAATTAGACATTATTTTATTTTTTTGTCATCAATGGCAGGCAAGGAGGGACTGTCACTGGAAAGAGAAGACTTGAAGTATACCAAGGGGAACTTTGCTAGCCGCATGAGAATCAAAGAGCTTGGCTAAGCTGCATTTATAAAGTACAACATTCCTAAAACCAGCTGTGAAATCTCTAGCGGTATCTTATTTATCATTTCTGTCTGAAAAGTGGAAAGTTTTTCTCTTCATTGCCTGTCCAGAAATCATTCCAAATGTTCCCATGTACCTGCCAAATGGGACACTAATTAATAATATGCTGCCACAGTGGCAATACATCAAACAAAGCTGCCCAGTAAATTGAAATATTCCTGCGATAAGTAAGCAATTTTCCACCAAAAAAAGTAAGCTCTAGAAATGATTTAATAAGAATACAGCAGATAACCATTTTTATTTTATTTTATTTTATTTTATTTCTGGGATTCTTTTCATTTATTCTAAGATTATTTTTTTAAATCCTTCTCATTCTTTTCCACTCCTAGAAAAGTCTTCTAAGATATTCCTTGAAGCTGCTCAGGGGATATTTCCCAGACTACATACCTTGAAGGCTGGGCCAAGAACAGCTGAGAAATGATGCTGCAGCCGCAGTGAAATCACAGGGATTGACCTTTACAAACAACCTGCACTCAGGAGCATGTGGCAGAGAGATTTAACACCGCCGAGTCCAAGGAGTCTTTGAGGACGATCTGACGCAAAAACTACATCAAAACTCTTCCCTTGAGGAATGTTCCAAAGCCTTAAATGTGTACAACTGGATGATTTATGGCCTTCCCCCTATGTACACATGTCTCCATCTATACCAAGTATCTCTGCTTGTTCTCAGCAATGGAGCAAGGACTATGAAAAACATCAGATTATGATGCTAAAGGTTATTCTCTACTTATACATACATTTGCATACTCTAGAACAGTGGTTCTCAACCTTCCTAATGCCACAACCTCTTAACACAGTTCCTCGTGTTGTGATGACCCCCAAACATAAAATTACTGTTCTTGCTACTTCCTAACTGTAATTTTGCTACTGTTATGGACTGTAATGAAAATATCTGATATGCAGGATGTATTTTCATTCACTGGACAAAATTTGGGTCAGTACCCGATACACCCAAATTTGAATACTGGTGGGGTTGGGGGAGATTGATTTTGTCATTTGAGATTTGTAGTTGCTGGGACTTATAGTTAACTTCCAATCAAAGAGCTTTATTATTTATTTATTTATTTACAGCTTTTATATTCCGCCCTTCTCACCCCGCAGGGGACTCAGGGCGGATTACAGTGTACACATATATGGCAAACATTCAATATCAATTGTTGACGTACAAACATATACAAACATAGACAGAGGCTATTTAACTTTTTCTGGCCGCCAGGGGAGCTGTCGCTTTCATCGTCCATCTGCGACGCTGATGAAGCACTTCCGCATTCCCGCATGCTTCCCCGCTGGAATGTTTTTGCTGGAGTCTTCTTTATGGCCTCATAAACCAGTTAATTTAGCCTCCCCACACTTTAAGGTGGTACCTTATTTTCCTACTTGACAGATGCAACTGTATTTCGGGTTGCAAAGGTCGACAACAGGCTACACACAATTGGTTGGAAACCCACTCCAACCCAGGCTGGCTTCAAAATCATGACCTTTTGGTCAGAGTGATCTTAATGCAGCTGACACTCAGCCAGCTGCGCCACAATCTGAACTCCACCAACGACGGAGTTGAATCAAACTTGGCACACAGAACTCCTGTGACCAACAGAAAATACTAGAAGGGTTTGGTCGACATTGACCTTGAGTTTTGGTGTTATAGTGCACCTACATCCAGAGAGCACTGTGGACTCAAACAATGATGGAGTTGGACCAGACTTGGCACAAATACTCAGTATGACCAGAACTGGTGGAGTTTGGGGAAAATAGACCTTGACAAGTTGTAGTTGCTTTAGGTATATAGTTCACTTATGATCAAAGGACATTCTGAACCCCACTGACAATAGAATTGGGCCAACCTTCCCACACGACCCACAGAAAAACTCACAACACTGGGCTGTATGGCCATGCTCCAGAAGCATTCTCTCTAAATGTTAGGAGAGAATGCTTCTGGAACATGGCCATTTTCTGATGGTCTTTGACACTCCCTCATGACCCCCCCCCCCAAGGATCCTGACCCCCAGGTTGAGAAATGCCGCTCTAGAAGATCTGATTGAGAAAATTATGGCTGTGACACATGGGATTTGCACCTTCTTTATGATTAATTTGGGAAGCAGGGGAAACTACAGCTCTCATAATCCCCAGCAGGAAAGGACATTCCTGGTTTTGAACATGTTCAGGAACAATCTCCCTGTAAACTTCTTCTGCATATATAGGATGTTCCATTCACCACTGGCGTCTCCTTCCCTCTACTTTTGAAAGGAGGAAAAGGAGAGCGGAGGAGCTGCAGAGAGAAATGCTATGCTTTGACATCATATAAGACTTTTTCGGAATGGGTGATTTTATATTCCAAAGTCCCCTGTTTCCAAAAATCACAATGTTCTTGCTATTCATCCCTGATTCCAATTTGTTTCTGAAAAGAGGAAAAATAAATCACAGTGCTAATTAGTGATCCCATTATGTGCTTTCCTCCTTTGTAAAAACTATTTATCCCTATTTTTCTCTTGATGGTTTTGGAACTCATGGTTACAGTAAATCCCCCATAACCCCATAATTGTGGAATCCATGTCTGCAAATTAACTTATCTGCCCCTGGGTAAATTTGGTCTCTCTAGGAATCTGCCAGGTCCTCCAGGCAATCCAATAATAATAATAATAATAATAATAATAATATACCCTGAGTCCCCGAAGGGACTCAGGGTAGCTTACAACATGGGTAAATACAATAAAAATACATAAAAATAAACAAAATATTGACACATCAGACCAATATAAGACAAAACAAAATATGGCAAGCCAAAACAAGCCTATGGTCTGCTTCCCCTGGAAGTTACCATACAATCACTTGGAGGACCTTGCAAATTCCTTGAGAGTCTATCCTTGTAGGAATTTCTAGGTTTTCCAAAGCAATTTTATAGTAACTGTCAGGGGAAGCTTGCCACAGGATTGCCTGGAGGTCTTAGAAAATGGGTTCAAATTACAAGAAAGAAGATTCCACCAAAACATTAGGAAGAAATTCCTGCTGTTTAAGAACTATAAGACAGTGGAATGGACTGCTTTGTAATGTATTGGAAATCTTTGAAGTGAGGTTGGATGACCATATCTCAGAAGTGCTTTGAAAGTGTATTCCTGCATGGACGGGGTTAGATTAGATGGCACTTTTTGTCCCTTCAATTTTTCAAATTGTATGATGAGAAAGGTTGCAGCTTTGAATCTGGGGGGTGGGATGAGCTCCCGTTGTTAGCCCCACCTTCTGCCAACTGGCAGTTTGAAAACATGCAAATGTGAATAGATAAATAGGTACTGCTCCTGCGGGAAGGTAACTGTGCTCCATGCAGTCATGCTGGCCACATGTCCTTGGAGGTGTCTACGGACAACGCCAGCTCTTCGGCTTCGAAATGGAGATGAGCACCAACCCCCAGAGTCAGAAATGACTGGACTTAATGTCAGGGGAAAATCTTTATCTTTACCTTTACCTGTGGTTTATAGTATTTACTACTTGTGTGAGAAATATTTGGCCCTTTAGATGTTTTGGATTTAATCTACTAGCAGTTCTACCCAGTGTAACCAATAGCAAGGGATAATGGGCAATTAAGGAGGGCCCAGTCTTTTCAAGAAACTTGAAGGCCATAAAAAGCAACTAAGATGGAACATTATATGAGAGTGAACATGGTGTCGTGATTTGAATTATAACTATAATTAAGGAGACCAGGGATCAAATTCAGTTTGGCCTTGGAAAGCCTCTGGGTAACCTTGGGCAAGGCACACTTTCTCAATCTCAGAGGAAGCTAAAACCAACTCCCCTCCAAACGAATCTTGCCAAGAAAACCTTGTGATGGGTTTGCCTTGAGGCTGCCATATATCAGAAATAAAGGCACACAACAACATCAACAACAATTTAAAATGTTTGGGAGGCCAAACATTCCACACTCTCCTCCACAAGGAAAGGGCAAAGAATGAGAGCCATACATTATCTCCAAGTCTTTGCACTGTAATATCTATTTACTTTTCTAACCACATTCCATTTCAGAAGAGACTTTTGCTTTCTATCTGGCAGTCTTGGATCCAGAGCAGCCCAGCTGTGGTTGCCAGTGCCACAAAGGAAGTTGGCTTGAAACCATCTTATGATGAGCCTTTGTCTTGGGCACAGATTGAAAGAGCTACTTAATCAGCACCCAGCCAGACAATCTACAGTCTAGGAACTGGTAGGTTTTGCATCCCTGCCAGGTGTAATATCCTGCAGCCCAGACTACCTTGTTTGCCAAAGCACACGATATCTGCAGCGAGGACATCACTGTGAGCCAAAAGGCACACACAATTGGACCCAAGTCATCACAGCAGCAGTCCCAACAAATTGTCTTTTTTAATTACTGGAAAGAGAGTGAGCAAGTGAAGAAGAGAAAGGAAGAGAAGATCAATCCTCAGACTAGCCATATCCTTTCACTCAAGTATTCAACAGCACTTGAAAAGCTGCTACACAAGCAAAGCAATCTGCTTCTGCTAAACAGAGTTGTCTTCACTACAGAGTTGGCAAGGCTTGCAGGGAGTCCTCTGTCTGTCTGGTTAAAAATGTGCTTCCAGCTGCAGCCAGTCCAGATGCTTCTGGGAAGCCCTCGAGCAGCAGAGCACAAAAAGCAAAGGAATGGTTGCCCCTGTTCTTTTTTCCTAGCATCTGTTAGCACAAATCTATCTTTCTTATAACCCAAATGTAATACATTCATCTGCTTGTTTATGATAGATTATGGGACATTTTCCTCTCCCTCTTTCTAAATGTTGGTTTGAAAAAACACCCAACTTTCAGTGGGTTGTTGTAGGTTTTTCGGGCTGTATGGCCATGTTCTAGAAGCATTTTCTCCTGACATTTCACCTGCATCTATGGCAGGCATCCTCAGAGGTTGTGAGGTCTGTTGGAAACTAGGAAAATTGGGTTCATATATCTGGAAAGTCCAGGGTGGGAGAAAGAACTCTTGTCTGTTGGAGCTAGGTGTGATTGTTTCAATTGGCCACCTTGATTAGCATTTGATGGCCTGACCGTTTTTAGGTGTGGCTTGTTACTGCCTGGGGAAATCCTTTGTTGAGAGGTGATTAGCTGTCCTGATTGTTTCTTGTCTGGAGTTCCGCTGTGTTTGAGTGTTGTTCTTTATTTACAACTTTCCGTTTAACAGCTATTCAAAAACCTTCCAACTAAACAAATATTTTTAAAAAAAATCTATTTGGTACAAGCAGCTGTACCAGCTTCACAGGATTAGATAGTAGATGCCCCAAA